GGGTATCTTGCTTTTTAGGTGAATACCCTCTTCCTGCACCTCGCAAAATGCTCATTTATGACCAAACGTCTCAATTAGCCTCCGTTCAGGAATCCCCACTGCCTTCACGTAGTAGTGCTTTCCCACCAAAGGGAGTAGATGAAAATCCAACATCATTGCCGATTGTTTTGGAGTATGAAATCCTAATTCTAACTGTGCCACTATTTGATTCATTATCAGAAGGAGCAAAACCATTGCGTCTTAAGCGAGAGCTTTTGCTCACAATTGTAGCCATGATATACAATGTAACTGACGAGATCACTTAAAAACGAATTTATGATTTTTTTTTTCAGAAATTTTCTCAAACAAAACCCCACAATTTCCGATGGCTGGGAAAACTACTTCCGTGGTCGCTCACCAGCATGTATTTTCCCACGATTTGCGATCCGCTTCTTTTGTAGTGCAGGACTTTTCCATAGATGGTCCAAACGATATCTCAGGTTTAGAGAAACTGGTGCTTACAACATTCCCTCATCTTGCTGGGACCAAGCTTGATGTTCATGTAAGCTCCTGCTTAGTCTGCTTCTTACACCCAAGGTCCTAGATGATGGTCTCTCAAATCTACTACTTCGCGTAGATTGTGTTCAACAAAACGAAGAGTCTTTTGCGTTTCTGGTACGCATTAACGGCCTGGAAACGAATTCGATTGTTGATCGGGAATTGGAATTGAATTGTATGTGCGCTTTATGCGAAATTCGGGGTGTTCCAAAAGTCTACTGTGTTTTCAACAATGGTATCAGTTACTCCTATGCCAAAGGTCGTGCTATGGCTCTACCTGATTTCCTTCTCGGTGATTACCATTGGTAAGTAGTCCTTTGCTTTGCATACTCATCATTATTCACCCTTAATTCACTTATATACCTTGCTTTCATTTAATAATTTTTGTTACATCCTTTTGCCCATTCGAAGATTAACTAAAGAGGTTTCTGTTAGAAATGTCACCATAATCGAACTCAGAGGTAAGTTTGTTTAGTGTATCCGGCTGACGTTCATTTATCGATTGCGTCGTAGAAACCGTTCCCTAAACATGCAGCATAAACACGTTTAAAAGTCTACGTGTAACAGAGAGAATCAAATGAAATAAGCTGCCTGATACCTTAATTTATGGAATAATTCGATCTCGATTAGCAGCCGACTTTGCGCTGTACGTCTGGACGGTTCAGTACGGATCAACAACTACAGAACGAAACGTCGATGTTTGTTCTTCGTATCCGCCTATGCACCAACTGATAGCAGTATGCCCGAAGTGAAGGATGAATTCTACAAGGATCAACAAACATGTCTTGTCCAAATATGCATGTGCATATTCCACAGTAACCAACAGCAAAAATTATTCAAAACTATAAACATGGATTTTACCACGGGCCGCTTTTTTATTACTTCCACTCGTGTGATGAAAAAAGACTGGATAA